AAATCTTTTCCAAAATAATTTTAGGGTCTCAGTTACATAAGCTTAATAATGACCATGAGCATAGTGTAGTAACATGTAGATAGTTTTCCTACATAAATATTTGCCAAAACACTGAATGATAAATTTTTTTTTTCAATAATAGGTTGATGATTACATTTATAGCATATTTGACAAAACTTAATTATTGATTTTGTAATGCAAAAAGTTTGAATAAATTATAAAATTTTTAAATTACATATGGAAGGAAAGGGAAAAAAAATGTTTTTGGCCTACTGGGGGTGCCCCCACTGGGGGTCCCTAGCACCACTGAATATAGAAATCTTTTCCAAAATAATTTTAGGGTCTCAGTTACATAAGCTTAATAATGACCATGAACATAGTGTAGTAACATGTAAATAGTTTTCCTACATAAATATTTGCCAAAACACTGAATGATAAATTTTTTTTTTCAATAATAGGTTGATGATTACATTTATAGCATATTTGACAAAACTTAATTATTGATTTTGTAATGCAAAAAGTTTGAATAAATTATAAAATTTTTAAATTACATAAATTTATTCATAAATTGTAAATGTGAACAATGGTTGCAGCATTCGAAAATATTAAATTTATTCGTAAATATTAAATTTTCAAATGGTAAAAGAACTATTTGATTAAGTATAGAATTTTGTAATACATATTTTCAATCAAGTACACAATAAAAAAACGCCTATGTGCTACAATTAAATGTTTTTGCATACATTTTTAGTTTAATTTATTTGCTTAGTATGTTAGTTGTAAATTTTTTTGTAATATAAAACAATTCAATTACAATATATAAAGAATTAAAAATTTAAAATAATCTATTACAAATAAAAAATGATCTATTTACAGAATAAACAATTACAATATAGTTTAACATGGGGTCATTTGCATTACAAGCTCAAAATTCACATGGGCTGTCCAATTACAATCTCAAAATTAAAAATTGCAACCATTTTACAATTTCACTATTCACGAAACTCATGTAAGCATTACATAGTCTTCATCGACCAAGCCGCACCGGACATGTTCGCCTATCATGACCTGTCTGCTGGCACTCATTGCAACGAGCGGTCAAACGCCTATCTGATATATCCATCTTATTCGGAATATGGGACATAGATTTATGACCTCGTTTTACTTCTCGCAGACGAAGTACATTACGCATTAAGGTCCACTACGGGTCATCCCAATAATCTTCATGCGATATTGGATTGAATTTAGTTTCCCAAACCCTCATGTATACGTGAAGCCTATATATTGGATCAACGTACTCAAATGGATTGTCACTGCATTCAGACATAACAACGAGCATATGAGAACATGGATAGTGTCTTATCTCGTATTTGCCACAACTGCACGTGGGTTGATTCATTCGCACAATCTGTGTATTACGACCTCGTCCATGGCGAAAAGATGTTCGCACCTCAAATACACGGCGGGGCCTATCAGACAATATTGATACAAACTAATCAAGTTCATGTTTTTAGGTGTAATTAACTTCACAACATAATAATAACAATTTAGTTTACATTACAAACTAACCTGTCGTACGATATTAACTGGAAAGTATTTCCCCTTACGATGCCCTCAAATCTGTGTATTACGACCTCGTCTATGGCAAAAAGATGTTCGCACCTCAAATACGCGGCGGGGCCTATCAGACAATATTGATACAAACTAATCAAGTTCATGTTTTTAGGTGTAATTAACTTCACAACATAATAATAACAATTTAGTTTACATTACAAACTAACCTGTCGTACGATATTAACGGGAAAGTATTCCCCCTTACGATGTCCTCCTCGATAATTTTTTGCATCTCTCTAGGTTATTGGAACTCATTCCGTACATCTATTTCTGTTTGGGTTCCCATCTCGTCGAAATATTTTACCAGCCGTCGAAATGTAAACTCAATCATAGCTGCGATAGGTAAGTTCTTTGCACCTTTCAAGACACTGTTGAAGCACTCTGCGTCATTGCTGGTCAATACCCCCCACCGATATCTACCGTCATACGCAAGGGCCCACTCCATAGGATTCATCTTGCGGACCCAATCGATGGCATCTTGGTCAATAGCCTGTATTTGTTCTAAGTAAGCATTACACTTTCGTCGTTGATGAGCATTCCCTACTTTCCATAGAAATTGTTTCAGGTCCTTATTTTTAAACTTTGTATTAAAGTTACTACAAACATGTCGAAGGCAGTGCCGATGATATCCAACAAATTGGAGCGACGGATTTAGCCAATGTCGCCTCACAGCAGCTAAAATACTCTCAGCTCGATTAGATATCAAAGTCACTCCTTATCGATCCATGACAATATGTTCCTTGATATTTGAAATGAAGAACGACCAAGATTCCAAACTCTCCTTGTCGACAACAGCGAATGCAAGCGGTAATACTTTGCCATTGGCAGTGACAATGGTTGCTACAAGTAACACACCAGTGTATTTGCCATATAAGAATGTACCATCTATGGTAATAACAGGCCCACAATATCTGAATCCATCGATGACGGGTTTGAAAGACCAGAAAACAAAGTGGAAGACGGGCATACTGGTTGTACCTCCGGTATGTCTATGCTTTCATTGAACGATGGTGCCAGGATTAGATGTCTGTAATGCATGCATGGATTTAGGCAACTGCCTATATGATTCATCCCAATCCCCGAATACCATTCTTATTGCCTTTGCCCTTGCATGCCACGCCTTCTTGTATGATATACTGTAGTTCATGGTCTTTTTGACATCTTCAATGACATTCTTAATTGGCATATCAAGTTTATTCTGCATACGACAATCAAATATGAGTTGGATTATTTGGGTGTGAACACTATAAACAAACAAATATGTATATATATGTAAACATTTATTTTTTATACTCACCGCAACTTGTCACAAAAGATGAGAAGCAATGTAACTGGAGCTAATATTAGTATGGTCCCTATTCATTCCTGGGTATAAACAATGGTAAGGACCCCTATACTGCTTTATTTTAAAAAGACCATGTGTTCCTACTAAAAGATGCAGCGCAACCACCAGCTGCAATCATGCTTGCAAGCACACACCCAAACGTCTCGCTGCATATCAGGTTTATTCTGCATACGACAATCAAATATGAGTTGGATTATTTGGGTGTGAACACTATAAACAAACAAATATGTATATATATGTAAACTTTTATTTTTTATACTCACTGCAACTTGTCACAAAAGATGAGAAGCAATGTAACTGGAGCTAATATTAGTGTGGTCCCTGTTCATTCGTGGGTATAAACAATGGTGAGGACCCCTATACTGCTTTATTTCAAAAAGACCATGTTTCCTACTAAGAGATACACGCAACCACCATCTGCAATCGTGCTTGCAAGCAGACACCCAAAGGTCTCGCTTGGAGGTTACGACCTTATACTCTCGATTATTTGTTGCATGGTACAATTTCACAGTATGTACAAGTTGCTTTTTATCAACAAAAACCATCCCTTTGTCCAACTCTGGATTTTCAGCGTTCCAGATCTGGTTACGGGGAACGACATCCCGGCTACTCATGTCAAAATCACCACCCATGTGAATGTTCTCATAGAAAGGGATTTCAGGTCTAGGTGGAATGGAAGAATTTTCAAGGTCAACGGGAGTGTCGGCATCATCTTCTTCATCATCATCATCTAATCCGCCCAATAAATTTTCTTCATCACACATTTCATTTTCATCATCGTTTAGGGCGACATCAGGACCGTGCATGTCATTGTCAGCAAACTGTACATAGTTCACCGTTTCAGCCATATTACCAGCAACTTCAACTGGAGTGGTATGATGGCTGCAGGTGGGCACATCTTTTGTGTTATTGTGAAATTCATAATCATATCCACCACATGAACTTGATTCCACACCATGGCCCTTAAATCTCTGTTGTGTGTAGCCCACTGCATAACATTGATCTGATTCATACATAGGAGACCGAAACACTGTTGTGTTAATCCCATGTGTCAGCAATGTAGTGAACAGACAAGAATCCATCTGTGTCATATTTGGGACTGTAGCAACCCCATCTCGTACAATGATTAGTACTTGATTAATTACGAGGATTTGAAATTAATTGCCGAGTATTAAGATTTAACTTGGGATTTATGAGAATTGTGGAATTTGACTTGTATATGATTCTATTGAAGACTAATTTTGGAATTAGAAATTAAGGGTCCAAATGACTTAAGGAAGTGAAGTTAAGAAGTTGAATCAATTTAATCTTAATTACGGACCCATTTGGGAGTTTAATTAGATATTCGATTCAGTTTAGTAAAAATCGAGATTCGACTAATTAGGTCCTAATTGGAGTCAATTAAGATAATTAAATTATGAAGATTGAGAATTATGATTATTGCGAATTAAATTTATTTATGGAGTGTCCTATTTGAATATGTAATTTAATTGACGGAAACTTGGAGTCTGATCAGAAATTGAAGACCTAAATGATTTAAGAAACCAAAATTTAAGTTGGAAATAAGTTTAATTTAATATTTAGAGCCTTTTGAGAGTTTGATTAAAACATCTGATTCAGGTTCGTAAGATTTGGAATGATTAAGTTTATTGGGTTAATTAAGTTGTGTGGTAATCATAATTAATTAGGACTAAATGAAATCAATGTAAATTAAGAATTAATTTAAAGTAATTTGATTTGAGATTAAGGGGTTGTTTGGGATGACCTAAATAAATGCAATTTTTGCCTTTTTACGAAAAGATGTGCAGAAAAGTAGAGAGGTGATGTGATGAAAAAAAGATAAAAAAATAAAAAGATGGATTATTTGAAGTATGCCAAACTTGGCCTAAGTATAATTAGTTAAGTCTAATTATAAGTCATTAGCAATTAATTTAATTATATCCAATTATATATTAAAAAAAAAATAGAAAGGATGAAGTGTTCTGGAATCTTGTTATATAAAAGAAAAAGGTAGAAATGAAATCAAAAAGAAAATAAAAAAGGGAATGTAAGTGTGCTGGCTGGAAAACACACGGCAGAGAGAGAGAGGAGCCGAGAGAAAGAGAGTGAGAGAGAGGAATCCAACTTTTATGCTGGAAGGAACTTTGGGGAAGTGAATTAATGAGATCTAAGTGAAGATAAAAGGAGAGGACTCAAAGAACTAAAAAGAAATTCAGCCATGGGAAGTTAAGGTAAGGATTTTAATTTTGATTGTAGTACTTGTATCACACTGGAAATTAAAGATGGAATTGGACTCTAAATTATGTAATTAATAGGAATTAGTAAGAAGATGAAGAAATTTTGAGTTATGTGTTAAGATCATGGATATATATTTGGAAATTAATTAGTTAGAGTTTGATTTCTATTATTCTTCACAAATTGAAACCCATCCTTACATGCATGTGGATGATTATAGAAAATAAATTAGAAATTAATTATTTTAAGTTTAATTTGTGTTGTCCTCATAAATTTGGGCTTCATCTTTGCATGCATCAATGAAATTTTAAGAGATTTGAAGAATTAATTTCATGTTTGGATATAAGAAGAACAAGTTGTGGTAAATTATAAATTCATGAACATTTGAGCTTAATTTTGAATTAAAGGGATTTGATGTAGGTGGTTTGATTTTGATTATAATTTCACACATGCAGAAACTTTCTAAGAGTTTTATAATTTCAATTTCATAATTTAAGGGGTAGAAAAGAGTTAGAAATCAATTTTATGGGATTAGAAGGAAATTGATAAGGAAATGATGATTTTAGAGCTAAAATCAAGTTTATGGAAATTTGGAACTAATGTTAAAGTTTTGATTTTATAATTGGATTTTTATTTAATCCATGCATGTGATGTAATTTAAGAATTTTATCTAATTTAGATGCATTTTAGAACACCCATGATTATAAATTAAGTTTTGGTTAGAAATTGAGTAAAGTTGAATTTCTAAGAAATTGATTTGTGTAATTCATAGTTAAGTTGATTTTGCTATCAATAATAAAAATTGGATCTATTTGTATTGCATACATCATGGAATTTCAAGAGGTTGGGAAGTTTAATTTATATTTTAGAATTGTGGGTTGATATTAATAAGATGATTTAAAACTAAATTTGGGTAATTGGAACATGATTTTGAATGAATGTTTTCTAAATAAAAGCATTTACTAAATCATACAATGGTTCTCCATTTTGTGCACCACAATTACATGCTTTGGGGCTTTGAATATCAAATTTGAACTTCAATTACAATTCTGAAAATTGCAGGATTTACACTGTCTGCTCGAGCGAGGGAAGTCTCGCTTGAGCGTGAAAATCAAGCTCCCAGTAGTTTTTCAAATTTTACAGTCCGCTCGAGCAACCAAAGTGGCGCTCGAGCGGAGACCTATTTTCAGCATATTTTGGAAATTTCATTTAGTTCACATTTTTATTCTCATCTCTTCCCAAGGCATTCTAGACATGATTTATGACTCAATAAAGATTAATAAGCTACCAATCAACATAAATTAGTTAGTTAAAGAATGAATCATTGATCTAGTGGTAATTGTTTAAGAAGCCAAGTAAAATATCAATCTATTTGGAAAAGAAGGGCTTAATAATGAAAGAATATGTGAAATAAGAAACCGGTCTATTTGAATGAGAAAGAATAAGTGTAGTAGAACTTCGGACTATTTAGACAAAAAAAGACTAAAAAAGTCAAGTTTGACCAAGGGAGTAATATTGTATTTCAATGTATATGTTATGTGCTTGTGTAGGTCACGCGCCATTGTCTGCCTGATTTATCTGATATGTCCAGTCTGTCTGATTTGCTTCTGCAGCCATCTGTAAGTAATAACTCTGTAAAGTTATGTTTAACTTTAATTATTTTCCAGTGACATGAGATGATAAGTTCTGAAATGTTATGTTTGAATGAATGAATGATAGTCTAATTTTCCTTGGAATGTAAACGCGGTATCCCTAACCGAGGCCCTCGCCCAGGGGACACAATACTGAGGCACATGGTCATGAGGCCCTCGCCCAGGAGAAAGAATACCGTGGCACAGGCCCTTGCTCGGGGAAAAGAATACCGTGGCACAGGCCCTCGCCCGGGGGAAACAATACTGTGGCATAAATATGTTATCCGGTACTGGAGGTTCCATTATGGGACTTACTATACTTGACCAACATGATATGTTATGCTAAGGGAAGTGTACCACACATGATTTGAATATGGATATGGCTGTAGTTCTTTTCTGATACGAATATGAATATGAATATGCTTACGTTTCCGATCTGATAAGAGATTGATTTTCTGATTTCTGCATTCAATATGGTCATCATTCATTAAACCCCTTTACGCTGTTATTATTCACTGGGCTTTAGCTCACAGTATTATTTATGTATGTAGGTGATCAGGCGCGTGACCAGGCTTAGAGGCTTCTGCCTAGAATCTGTTTTGTCAGCCAACCTATGTGCCTCCCGTGGAGGTTCCGGATATGTCAAGTGACCATTGCTATGTGACTTAAAGTTTAAGTTTTATTTTCGTGTATTTTGTGAATAGGGTTAAGTCCCTTTTGTCTAATCTGTGTGTATATGACGACTGAAAGATAATGTCTACATATGTATATAAAACGTTTAAAATTTCTCTGTCTCATATAAGTCTGCACAGCTCAATGGACATTGTATATTGTTACTTGTTTCCGCTAGCCCCTAATATTATGTTAATCTATTACAAAGGCCTTCGGTAATCCCAGGATTACTGGCCGGTTACGATGCTAAACTCATAGGAGTGGGTTTGGGTCATGACAAGGACATTGTGTACAACCTCTTTATCAATGTACACTTCCAAACAATTTGGTGGTTGGAAACTTGCATCGATACTTAATACGGTGTTCAACGCCTCATCGTCATTGATCGATAATATCTTATATTTGCTGATTGCTTGCCACTGGCGATAAGGATATCTACATTTGATGTTCAATCGAACACTTTCCCCGTAACTTGCCACATTGGACATGAACATCTCCTCCAAATTGCTAAGCGTGGTGCCAAGTTGCACCCCATATATCCCTTCCGGCTCAGCATCATATGACACACCTTCATCGGGATCCCGAATTATGTTTCCCCCCCAGTAGAAGATAATTGGAACAGTCTCCATATACTTACTTTAATGAAACAAAAACATTAAAATATCGACAATATACTTATATCGGATTTTGTTTCTAAAAGAATTATATGAATTTTAACTCATTCAATTACAATTACTTATCATTATTGCTTTTTAATTAAAATATGAGTTAAAATAATTATTATGTTTTGGGTTTGCCGTTTAGTAACACTTACGTTTTCAGTTTATATTTACAAAAATTTAAAAAACTCAAATAAAAACTTGTTTGGTAAATTTTTGATTTATAAATTAGTAGCCTCAATTTATAAATTTGGCAAAAAAATGTAAACTCAAAAAATGTGTTTCCGTTTTGAGTTTTCAAATTTTTTTTTTTACCACCCAATACTAGCCACCACTCGCCACTATTTTCCACTACCATCTTCCGCCACCACCACCCACCCCCCACCACCACCTGCTACCACCACCCACTTGTCACCCACTCGCCACCACCACCCACCCCCCGCCACCGCCGCCGTCACCACCACCACCATCATCACCCACCACCCACCTGCCACCACCACCCACCACCCACCACCCACCCACCCAACCCGGCCCTATCCAATCCATCCGCGCCGACCACCACCGTCTTCCGCCAGCACCACCCACCGCCCGCCACCTGCCACCATCTACCACTATTTTCCACCACCGTCTTTCGCTGCCACCACCTGCTACCACTTTCCACCGCCACCACCTGCTACCGCTTTTCACCATTGTCTTTCGCCGCCACCACCCATCACTTGCCACCACTTTCCACCACCACCCACCCACCCGCCACTTGCCACCACTTTCCACCACCGTCTTCTGTCACCATCACCCACCACCTGCCACCATTTTCCACCACCATCTTCCGCCGCCACCACTTGTCACCACCCACCACCCGCCACCACTTGCCATTTCTCACTTTTTTATATTTTTAAATTTTTTAAAACATTTTGTCTAAACCAAACACGTTGTAGTTTATGTTTTTTTAAAAATAAACAAAAACCAATTTATAAAATTTTTGTAAATATAAACTAAAAACGTAAACATTACCAAACAGGTCCTTAGTTTTTTAACTAAAAAGCTTACAACATATAAAGAATGTTGGTTTGTTTTGATATAACTATCTATGGAACTCCTGTGTTCTGCTTTTTTCATTATTCATTACGATTGATGTGATGAAGAATGTTGTATTTGCCTTATCATATGATTGATGCCATGAAGATTCTTTTCACATTTGAAATATAACATGGGTAGAATTGTCATTTCCCTCCAATCCCATCAAAATAATAATGAAAAGTCTGTAAATACCTTCATTTAATTTCTTTCGCACAATTATAAACAAAACAAAAAAAAAACAAAAACAGAAAATCAGATTTTAAGTTTTGTAACAAAATAAACTTTTAATTTTTAATTTTGTTAATTTAAATACTAAACGTTTGATTTATTTTTAAATTAAACTAATTGTCTATTTTTGTGAAATAAAATCAATGAAAAAATAGATATTTTAGTTATTAAACTCAATAAAAATGATATTTTAAATATTTTATGTGTATTTACACTAAATTTAATGACTAAAATACTCATTTTTCATCAGTTTTATTTAATAAAAATAGGCTAATGATTTGGATTGAAAACAAATCAAAATATGATAGTTTAAATTGATAAAATTTAAAATTTAGAGTTTATTTTGTTATAAGGTTAAAACTTTTATAAAAAAAATTATAATTATCCAATTTCTTTTTACACATATTACATGCATTATAAATCTTTTGTACCTTACAAAAAAGCCCCTATACCTTAGAAAAAATGTGTAAAGAAATATTTGATGCGTGTTTTTAGAAGCTCTCAATAAATATACTATAGTAATTTAATTTAAATATCATTTGATATATCATCAAAATATTAGTATAATAATACCAAACAAATCAAATATACATATAGATACGGATATGAATCCCTAACCCTAGAATTGTCAGACAAATTCAAACAAAAACTTTGGGTTAGAACATTTTCACAATTCAAAACCCTAATTTTTGATTTCACAATTCAAAACCCTAACCCTAATTTATGATTTCAGATTCAATTGAAAACCCTAGAACATTTTCACAATTCAAAACCACAATTTCAATTCACAAAGCCTATTCTACCCACATTGATATCAATTTCAATTCACAATATTTTCACATTCACAAACCCTATTCTACCAACATTTTCTTCAATTCACAACATTTTCACATTCATAAACCCTATTCTACCTACATTGTACCCACATTCACATTTTCACAAACACAATAAATACATAAAATTCAAACTGAGACAAAGAGAGAGAGACGCCATACCAGCGAGAGAGAGCAATCCACGGACGGAGAGAGAGAAGAGAGAGAGTGTGAGAGCAAAGGGAGCGAGAGTGTGAGAGAGCGAGAGCAGAGAGTGAGAGAGAGCCTGAAATCGAAAAAACCTAAGTGTAAAAAGCGTGGTTGCAAATGACAGGGCTGAGGGAGTTTTATATAAGTTGTAAAAGCGTGGTTACGAACTACGTTTTCATTTAAAAGCAGATTTTGGTTAAAAGCGTGGTTATCATCCACGCTTTCTTTGGTCAACAGTAAAAGCGTGGTTCGCAACCACATTTTATGAAGAAAAAAAAATTATTTAAAAGCGTGGTTAGGAACCACGCTTTCTGAAAAAAAAATAATTTTAAAGCGTGGTTTGTAATCACGCTTTTACGATTTTACAAATTTTCTACGGGAGGGCCACAAAAACGGTGAAAGCGTGGTTTGTAACCACGCTTTAGCTTAGTTTGGGAATTCCGTCCAAACTAGGCCTAGTTTGAAAAATAAGTTGCTATTTTGCCTTAATTTGGGAAAAGCCCCAAAAAGGGGTCTCAACCTTTTTCCTATATATAATATGTTTATTGTAAAGCCAAAAAAACTAAAACTATCTTTGTAAATTAATAAATTAATATCTTTCTAAATTAATAGAATTTAGGTGGCCCCAAAACTATTAATTTAAAGAGGTTTATATTGTAAATGTAATTACAAAAGAGATAGGAATCTTTCTCAAATTTGATTACAAAATTGCAGAAAAATAGGAAGAACTAAATGTAATTACAAAATTGTCAATTTGACTAGATTTAGATGATAAAAGAGATAAAAAGTCATTTTTAAAAATAAAACCCCCTCTATTTGGGAAATGTTAAAAAAATTTAATTAAATTTTGGATTTTTTTTTGTTTTTAGTAAAAAAATCTTTATTATTTTTCAAGTACTTTTAAATGCGAAAGGGTCTAAAAATGTTTATTTTAAAAAAAAAATATTTAACAAAAACTCACCAAAGACTACCCAGAAATATTAAAAAAAAACAACAACACAAAATTAAAATTCACCAATAGCAAAAAGTAACTTTTTAACATTCATCAAATATGTCAACTTTTTTAGGAACTACTTTATTTAAAATGTAAAAAATAAAAAAGGTAATAAAAGAAATTGCTAAACCAATCTTATATTGCATTATTGACTTAATTTCACTTTTGTTGCCTAAACTATTGTCATATTTTTTATTTCATTCTTAAACTATTAATTTTATCAATTTAGTCGTTATAGTTCATTGTTTTAGATAAGAGACAACTCAACCAAATTAGTATGATAAAAACCTAACTTAATGGGTAAAAGAGTAATTTTATAATTTGATCAAATTTTAAATTATACAATCATACATTCATCTTTTCTTCTCTCTAAAGTGTTTACTTGTAGGAATTGGGGTGGTTGTTTTGTGGAGCAGCCGTTGTTGTGTTTAGGCGTTTCTTCCCCCTAAGTGTTTATTTGTATGGTGAAGAAAATTTAGGTTCCGTTTGGTTAGGGTTTCAAATTATAATTTGAGTGTATTATTTGTTTTGAACTTTTAAATTATAATTTTACACTCGTTTCTCAAAACTCAATTTAAAACATAATCATTACTTTTCAAAACTCATAACCAAACACATAATTCAAAATTCTTTTCAAAACTTAATTCAAATCAATATTTTAGTTTTTTAAATATTTTAAAAATATTTTAATTTTTTTAAGATTTTAAATATTTTAATATGTTACGATTTTTTTAATTTTTTGAATATTTTTAAATATTATGATTTTAATTTTTTTATTTTTGAAATATTTTATAAAAATAAATTCAAACTCTATTTTATAAAAATATTTTTAAATATCTTAATTTTTTTGTTATGTATTTGGTTACGATTTGAGTGTAGAGTTGTGAAAATAGTATGTAGTTTCGAGTTATGTGTTTGGTTATGAATTTTAAAAATAATTTCTTAAATAAGTTTTGTTTTATGTATCTTCTGCTCAGCCTCTACTTCTGAAATGTCCCTGGAAGTGAGTAATACATACTGCATCAGAGCCAACTTGAAAAAATAAAATAAAATGTCTCCAGGTTCGGAGTGAAGGTGTTCAAATCATTATATTCTTAAAAAAAAATCCAAAACCTTCCAATAATTTGGTCCACACTTTGTTTT